AAAGCACACGCATGCAGGCAAGCCTATTCGCTTTGTGTTCAGTATGTTTTCCAATCACCAAGCCAAATGGCTTTTTTACTCCATCCAAGAAAATAAAGCACAATGTTTTTGCTCGGAGGGATTCATTTTGTTTTTCTCCTCTGCTGCGGCTTACAGTGAAATCAATCTCCTGCTCCTCTTGTCTTACTGATGAGATCCTACTGAAAGGATGTGTACATATTAGATTGATTAGATTCTTAGTAACAGAGTAAAAGGGGGGGCTATGAATAGATAGTGGGGAAAAAGAGAACACCGCTGTTACGCAGATCAAGAGAAATAAAGAATTTTGATACAAAAATGAATGTGTGAAAAGAATATAAAGTAGGTCAAATGAAATGACTGTTTCCTTAGGTTACGCTGTTTCACAGGGGAGTACGTTAACTTTCCTTTCACCTTTTTGATTACTAGTATGTGGCATTGATATCAACACAGAAATTCGGAGACCGAACAGCATTGGAGACAGATGTCTTTTGAAGGTTATTTGTAACACTATCAACAACTGAGTCATCAATACAAAGTAGCCTCAGCAGTTTAAGGATATCAACATTTTGATGAGCGCCATCTAGGAAGAGTAACATCTTTGTCATTTTTCTACTTTTGCGAGTCGTATTACAGCGTACTTTTCCTGTGTTTAGCTGCTCTTTTTTCAGGTTTTAGGTTTTAAAGCTGCAAATGTAGATGTATTAGTCCAGAAGTATAGTATAGTGTGACATTTTTTTACAACATCTTTTTATGGTGCAAATATTATTCATATCAGAGGGAACAATATTACCCATATCATGAAAACGACACGATAGACAAATTAACAGAGTAGTAACTCTCCTATCACTCCCTCCAGAAAATACACGACGCCATAATTCTTGTTACAGACGGATTTATTCGTAGGCCGGCTAGCAGGCTCTGGCACGTCAAAGAATACGCCCAACATGTCAAACTAAAGATCTGATTGGTTGAACACTATGACAATCAACAATATCGTCCCCAGTCACTTAAACTGCAAAGGGATGCACTTGTGAGTCTGCAGGCCTGGGTCTCTCTTCTTACCTAGAGACTCAGAGGTGAAATCTGATTGGATGAAAGCTCTACTTAAAACAAGCTGCACTGGAAGCAGAGCAACTGAGGAAGATAGTAGCTGTGCAATGAGAAAATAAGATAATGGGAAAAATATTTTTATAAATTATAATACATGTAGTGTATTTAAGAAAAATTCTAAAATAGATATAGCTTTGTGATTATATTTAGGCCAGCAGAGAAGGCTTTGCAGGCCCTGACGGCCCACCACTGGCATACTATATATGGACATTTTTGATGTATGATACATTTTTTTATGGCATTCATTTTTTGACACACTGCAACATTTCTTTTTTTTTTTTTTTTTTTTTTTACTTATATTATACTTTGACTTTTTATGGCCTACTATACTAAGATACTTTCGATTACATACTCTACATGACATATTCTACTATGACATCTTATATGACATACTATTTTAAATAATAATGGCATACTATACTATGACTTTTCCTGACTTCTTTATGACAGACTTTTCAATAGCATACTATACTATGACTTTTTAATTTTTTTTGACATACTATTGTATATACTATTATACTTTCACAGCATTTGACATGCTATTTTTATGCCTTTTTTATGACACACCTTGTCATTTTGTATGACATTTTATAATGATATAACATACGATGACTTTTTCAAGACATTTGTTTGACATTCTATACCATGATGTTTTTTTATTTTTACTTATTTTTAATCTTTTAAAAGCTATTGAATTTAACTACAGGATTCCTGCATTTAACCTGGAACTGCTCTTCCTCTTACTTTTCTGCCCATTAGATGCCACAAGTAGGTCTATGTATAACTGGTCTGAAAATGACTGAATAGTACCTCCTTGTGGAGAACTGCAGCTTGTTAAATACGTTAAATGTGAATGAGTGAGTTTGAGTGAAGAACAGTCAAAACTAACTTCTTATTTTTGTCCTGCAGGTAATGCTAAGGCTAGTAAAGTGGACTTCCTGGGTATGAATGTGGACGACGCAGCTGCCATAGCTGGCCAGTGGGTCCTGTTGGTCCTTGGTGTGGTCCTCTTGGTGGCCACCATCATATTGGCCTATAAGTACAGGAGGTCAAAAAAGCCTGAAAAGTCCTTATCCACGATGGAGCTCAAGCAAAAGGACTAGTCGTCAATGACAGCTAGCAGTAGCTAGTACCTATACCAACTTCATCATAAACATCAGTGTTTTTGTGCTGTATTGTACAACAGATCAAATTAGCTTTTCTTTTTGGTCTGCCTCCTTATCTAGTCTTGTATATTTGTTGTATACACTTTGAGTCAAATTATATTTTTGCCTATGCGAAAGAACATTACATTTTTGTAATTTATTTTAAATATTTGAATGTTTATTAAAGAAGAAATGTTTTAAATTAATGTTTTAAAGTCATTGATGGCATTTTTGAATATTTGATTTAATTGCTTTTGTTGTTGAATCTGCATTTCTACAATAAAAAACATTAAATATTGATTCTGTGTTCAAACAAGATACTATGGAAAATACACAATGATGATGGTAGCAATTGAACTGCAAAGGTTGGTCAAAACAATTTTATTACATAGAAACTGCACAGTAGAACAACAACACTAAAACAAAACAGAATCTGTTTCAGCCCTTCCCTCTTTATTCAGAGTTAATAGTAACTCTGTCACATCCACAACTGGTGATCACAATCACCAGTTTTCAAAATAATGTGTTGGTAAGAGTTTATACAAAATACATATTTGGAAAAGAGTAACTGGAATATATTCACAAGAAGTATAAAACATGTTGCCTGTGTCCCTTTGAAATTGAAAACAAAAATTTCTTCCATTGAAAGAAATATAGCTCCATAATTCCTGACAATGATTGATATATTTGACTTCAGGACAACTCTGACAAAATAAAGACATTACTTTATTTTTAAGTTATGACCTTGATCATTTTTTATTATAATATGATATATCTACATCATTTGACATTACATGTTTACGTACATTTTTATAAAATGCTACACTATGACATTTTTATATTTTTGTCACATTTTAAATTGCCTCTGTATTACATTGTTTTTTTCGACAATGTAATACAGATGTAAAAGTATAACTTTTCGACACACTATACTATGACTGTTTTTGACATACTATACTATGACTTTTTCTGACATACTATACTATGACTTTTTTGACATGCTATACTATGACTTTTTTCATTACTTTTCGGCATACTATACTATGACTGTTTTTGACATACTACACTATGACTTTTTATGACATGCTATACTATGACTTTTTATGACATGCTATGACTTTTTCATGACTTTTTTCAACATGCTATACTATGACTGTTTTTGACATGCTATACTATGACTGTTTTTGACATGCTATACTATGACTTTTTATGACATGCTATACTATGACTTTTTTGACATGCTATACTATGACTTTTTTCGACATACTATACTATGACTTTTTTCAACATACTATACTATAACTGTTTTTGACATGCTATACTATGACTTTTTTGACATACGATACTATGACTTTTTATGACATGCTATACTATGACGTTTTTGTTACTTTTTCGACATAATATACTATGACTTTTTTCGACATGGTATACTATGACTTTTTTCGACATACTATACTATAACTGTTTTCGACATGCTATACTATGACTGTTTTTGACATACTATACTATGACTTTTTATGACATGCTATACAATGACTTTCATGACATGCTATACTATGACTGTTTTCGACATGCTATACTATGACTGTTTTTGACATACTATTATACTATGACTTTTGATGACATGCTATACTATGACTTTTTTCGACATACTATACTATGATTTTTATGACATGCTACACTATGACTGTTTTTGACATGCTATACAATGACTTTTATGACATGCTATACTATGACTTTTTATGACATGCTACACAATGACTTTTATGACATGCTATACTATGACTTTTGATGACATGCTATACAATGACTTTTTTCGACATGCTATACTATGACTTTTTTCGACATACTATACTATAACTGTTTTTGACATGCTATACTATGACTTTTTTGACATACTATACTATGACTTTTTATGACATGCTATACTATGACTGTTTTTGACATGCTATACTATGACTGTTTTTGACATACTATACTATGACTTTTTTCGACAGGCTATATACTATGAATTTTTTGTTACTTTTTATGACATGCTATACTATGACTTTTTATGACATACTATACTATGACTGTTTTTGACATGCTATACTATGACTGTTTTTGACATACTATACTATGACTTTTTTTGACATACTATTATACTATGACTTTTGATGACATGCTATACTATGACTTTTTATGACATGCTATGACTTTTTCATGACTTTTTTCGACATGCTATACTATGACTGTTTTTGACATACTATACTATGACTTTTTATGACATACTATACTATGACTTTTTTTGACATACTATACTATGATTTTTATGACATGCTATACTATGACTGTTTTTCGACATGCTATACTATGACTGTTTTTGACATGCTATACTATGACTGTTTTTGACATGCTATACTATGACTGTTTTTGACATGCTATACTATGACTTTTTATGACATGCTATACTATGACTTTTTTCGACATGCTATACTATGACTGTTTTTGACATACTATACTATGACTTTTTTTTGACATACTATACGGTGATTTTTATGACATGCTATACTATGACTGTTTTTGATATGCTATACTATGACTTTTTTCGACATACTATACTGTGACTTTTTTCAACATAGAACATTTTTGAATATTTATTTTGTTACTATGTTCTGTTTTTAATCTGCATTTCTACAATAAAGGCATTCAATCTGCCTGTGTTCAACCAAGATATTGCAAAGGTTGTTAAAAACAATTTAATTACAATGAGACTGCACAGTAAAAAAACACCATGACAGAGATTGTGCATTGGTTTTAGCCCTTCCCTCTTTACTTACAGAGTCAATGGAGCGTCTGTAACAGCCAAATTCACAATTTGTGGTTTCTCAAGTAACGCACAATAGAGTGGTAACTCAACACATAGTCCCATCAGACTGTGTTCAATGACAGTCTTCTTCTGGTCCAGTTTAGTCTGTGCTGCGAGTTGACCTCAATGGGGACCACAAAGGCTTGGAAATAATCTGAGTGCAGGTTACAGTTTCATACAAAAATAAAAAGCCTAGGCACAGTGAAACAACAAAGGCCAGTTACGGATGCATTCATTCAAATAGTCAATTCCTTGATTACCTGTCTTTATGTACAATTTATAACAATTATCTATGCCAGAGCTTACAGTCTTCACACATACACAATGTCATGTATTATTTACTCCAGTGTCATGACTCCCTATTGTGATATTTTTTAAAGATAAGTTCTTTACTGTAATAACACAAGACAGTAATAAATAATCTAATTGTTCTCCCATCAACACAGGTTTTCTATTTCTACATACAGACAAGAAGCTATTGCTTTTAAACTTGTTGAAGGGGTGCTTGGATGACCCTTTTCATGTCAAGCTGGGCTGTATATTACTCACCAATTAAAACCGTTTTTTCTTTGTACCTCTCTGTATTTATTTCCTGAAATTATTTCCTGAAACTCGGGAAATATTTTTTCTATGTAGGCTAAAAAACACAAAAGGTGTTTATTGCACTTCTGGAGGACAGTGCCACAATCATAACTGTATTTGAGATGCTAGTCTTTGTAATGCTTGCCAAACACTGACATGGACATTCACATAAAGACAATCATAACAGAGTGGCTGCTGGTCAGCGTATTCGAAGTGCAGTCTGAAAACAAACTCCTAAAAGATTGATGTAGGTTTAAAACCTTTACAGAACCTACAACTGCTGACCACAAAGTGATACCTGGGGACTGAGCAGGAAAAACACACACAATCACAGAGAAGATCAGTCCTCTGAGGAAAACGGACTTGGTGGAAATAAAAATGAGGAATGACCAGCAACTTTGCTTTGAGGATTCAAAGAATAAAATGGAAAAATATATGCAAACACAATAATCAAATCAATTTACAATTTGCTCTGGAATGCAACCTGGATTCCAACACTGAATTCATCAAAAATACAATCTCTGAAACAAACTCTTCAGCATATTGCACTGAAATTATATCTAATTAACAGGAAAAAAAATGGACTGCACTATCCAATGTTTTTCCATGCACGTGGCTCGACCGAGCCTAATGTTCTTTGTTTGACTCGTGTGAAACCAGTGTGAGTGGTTCAAGGCCCAAAGTAAAGGCTTCAGTAGTAGTAATGCTGCATCTCTGTCCAGTTGGTGATCCAATACTTTTTCTGTGGCTCCTCAGGCTGAAATCCAAGATTGAACTGATACCGCTCAGCCTTGCGAATTTTCACCCCCTGGTGCTTTGGCATTATCCGGTAGTAGATTGCTCGCTTGAAGAATCCAAGCTAGTGGGGAAAGAGAGAGGGAGGTGACATTAAACAGGATACACTTAAACAGCAGGAGAGCTGGGATTAATGGCGAGTTGAGAATGAGATTTAGGATTCATAGTCTGAGGAAAATCAAGTAAAGATAGACCCACGCTGAGTAAGATGGAGAGGGCGATTAAAGTAGTAAAGACAAACATGAGATAAAATGATCAGCAGTGCACACTGATAGCCTGAAAGGGAAACAGAAGCGATGTTAGGTAGACAGAGCGGACATAAAAGAGAAAGTTAAGTCATGAGAAAGAATCACATCCCAAGCTTAAGTAATAGTATCCAGAGAAGATCCATTTGTATGGGCGTCGTTACCCAAAAGCCCCACTGGTGTGTTCTGTTTGGGGACCCATGGGGGCCTCAGTAGTCCTCAGTAAGCTTCTCTGTCTCAGAGGGCTGGATCTTCATCTCAGCCTTCTGGGCTTTGGCCTCATACATCTCCCTCCTGTTGGCTCTCTGGAAGAAGCCACACTGGGGGTGGAGGAGGAGGGTGCATGTCAAAGGTTAGACTAAAGGCTCAATATGGAGGTAATAAATCAGCAAGAAAAAAAACGAGTCAACAGCTCTCATAATCCAGAAACGATTGTTGGTTTGACAAAAAAAAAAAAAAAAAAAGTGCATGTAGAGAGATTCGGGGCTATTTGCTGTCTGTGTCTGCAGAAATACAGCATGTGCAGGACTGTAATCAGTGCAGCAGTGATTGGCAGTCTCACCTTCCATAGTATCACAATGATTACTCCCAGTAGGAGAATTCCCGCAACAGCTGCAGAGATGATGATCCACAACGGGAGCTCGTAGGGTGCCTCCACCCCCTCCAGTGGTTCTATTTCTACTGTGAACTAGAAAGGTGGAGAGAGTCAAGTAAAATCATCACAATCACAATCATCATCATCATCATCATCATCATCATCATCATCATCATCATCATCATCATCATCATGATCACACACCACGTTGGTCTGACTGTCCATCCTGATGGTTGGTTTATCTGTAATGAGCTTCAGAGTGGCTTGACCTTTGACCGTAATTCTCAGAGCGTTGGAATAGTCCTGCAGGAACACACACACACACGGCAAGAAAACATTGTAAAAAATAAGCCAAAGGACACCATTATTATCAATAATGTGTGAACATAAAACTGGAGAGCTGACCTCGAGCATCGTACTGTTCCACAAACGGGCCCGGACATAAATTTTGGCTGAATCCGTCATGTTGAGCAGCGGACAGGTGAACGTCACGCATCGGGCTGTACCCTTTGAGCATTCCTTCAACACACGATGACAAAGAACAACTGTTACACAAACATGGACTGTTAAGACTGTTTTGCAGGTTTAGTTTCTTCAGGATAGACACATTCTCAAAATACAAAAAAAAAGACAGGCCGAGCCAATAGAAGATTCACTTCTGCACTCAGTGATGACATTCTTTACCAAAGAATATGTTGAGTGAAAGTAGGTCGTTGTGATTGGTTTCTAGCCACACTTACTGGTCTACCAGACAAAAACATCTCAGCAACAATCATGAAGATTGCCATGACATTTGGTAAAGAAAGAAATCATTCCCAGAGGATGACTTCTACTGATTTTGGTGATCCCCTGACTTTTCTTCCGGTCCCACCACCAATAAAGTGCAGATATTCATGATCTTTGATCAAATATAATTGATTGTACTTCAAATGACGCATGCAAGCTTGTTCATGAGAGCGCCAGATCCATTTCTTACCAACAGGTATGTCTCTTTGCGAGGAGAGAGCAATGTGACGGCTGCCTGTGGCTCAATAATCTGTGGCTTTGTTGTCTCAGCGTCATCCACCATGATCTGTCGTTTAGTGCGCTTTCGTCCGCCCTCTGACAACTGGAAGACAAGAAAGTGGGAAGGGAAAATTAAACAAGGACGCAGATGAGACAGAGACATGACATCAGAAGGCTCGTGGTAATTACTGGTTTTGATAAAGACATTACTAAATTGTTCTTAGAATAGCACTGTCATTTATACTCTATTTCTAGGCCGCACGCATTATAACTTTCTATTTGAGGCTCTGTGAAGTCTGGATGTGGCGACACATACATTTTCCAAAATGTATTTCTGAACATCTGTGGTTTGGCTTTGAGACTTTTTTCACACCCATTTTCTACCGCCGACATCTACGAATGCAGCTCAGGCGGCTTCAGTTCACTCACGTCAGGATCAACTACAGTTCACGCAACAAGCCTGTGAAAAGCACAATGGCAGCAAAAAAAAATTAAACTGTGAGTTACTGTAACACAGTTGTTATAGCCTATGCTAGCATATAATGTACTTTGTGTTAAGTAGCAAAAGTTGGCATGTTAAACTGAGATGGTGGACATTGCGAACAGTAAACCTGCTAAACGTCAGTATTGTCATTGGGAGCATGTTAGCATGCTGCCATTAGCATTTTGCTCAAAGTGCCGCTGTGCATGTCTGTCTGTAGACACAGTCCTGTTACTGGTTCTAGGCCTTTCGTTAAAGCCAGTACCTCTCTGTTTATGTGTAACTGTGTGGCTTTTCAGTAATGGGACATTTTGGGATGTGCGTATGTCATGGGTGTGGGCAGGAATAAGCTGTAAGAACAGAAAAATGTTTGCAAAGCTGCCAGTACACAGAGAGATGGGAAAGATTAGATGAGAAAAGCATGTATCAAAGGCGAATATGAACCCAGGATGTTTTCATGTAGTTTCTTTTCTATTCACAATCTGCATCTTCAGTATTTATTAGATTAGACAAGATAAACTTGACCAAGTTAGGGAATGATGGCGATACGTTACATATCAATTGTCCCACCCAAATTTGAGGAAATTCCCTCAAGGTGTTCCTGACATATCGCGTACGTGCATACAGACAGACGGACAACTCGAAAACACAATGACTCTGTCCAAGGCTGTCGCCAGGGCACAGGCATAACAAATAAAAAGCCTTACAGTTAGGTTAAGTAGGTTGACAACTTCTCCAGAAGGGTTACATTCCACCTCTGATTCCCCTTTCACCAAAATCTTCGTCAGGTACAGCAGCCACTTGCCGTTGGCTACCTCAAAGGGCCACTCAAACTCCACAGCCAGGGTCCCCATGTCTCCCAGGGGCTGTCCCCACATGTCCACCTAGTAGGGAAAAATCATATGGTGAGATATAACAATATGGTGTGGAATAACATTCAGGGCTTCACTTTGTAACCCCTAAATAGTAACCACCTCTGGTCATGCTTACACCACAATCCCTTCCCCGCACAATATTAAACTTTAAAAGTTTTGGCTTCAAAGACAGGGTGGAGAAGAGGGAAATGTGGGTAGCACACATTATATATGCAATATACAATCCTGGAGGTCTCATATAGTCTGAGTGGTGATGGTGACTCACATTGAAGGTGAACTCCACCAGACTGCCCACGTCATTGGTGTTTACCATGGCTGACTCGCCCATCACCGTCCCACTGAACTCCGTTTTTACCAGCATGTTTGCTCTGTACAGGGTGAGAGAGTTGGAAATGATTGTACACTGTGCAAGTAACAATTTAGTGCTGTGACATGAACTACTTCAGTGTCCATGGCATGTCTGTGGTCTTTCCTGTATATACAGGAAGTCATGTTCGGCAATGGGACTCACATGGAGAAGGAGGGGATGATGGTGTTTTCAATCTGCAGGACCACAGGCACAGGCTTCATGTCACTCTGCTCACTAAGACTGAAGAAACAACCCTTATTACTACACTGTGTGCCAATGTAATGTAATAGCCACTAGAGCCAAAAAGCACCGTTACATTTTACACTAAATAAAAATAAAACAGCTGCAAAATGCTGAACTGTGGAATCAAAACCGGGACCCAAGCCTTCAATATCAAAAGGGAACAAAATCAATGTTAAACACTTACGTGGACAGAAGCAGCTGGGACACAATCTCTTGTGTGTACAAATTGATCCCCGAGGTCTCGAATATGAGTATAAGTGACACCTGATAATGGAAGCGAGAGAATGAGTGGCGTCGGGAGGAGGAAAGGAGTCAACATGTATGAGAGAAAATCAATTCAAAACATACCTTTTCATTGCCTTTAAGTGGATTTCCCAGCTCACAAATCACTGTATCATGCAGACCGCATTGCACATCGTGGTCCTGAACACAAAATCGGCATATTGAGAAAATTAACAAAATAATTACATTTTGATGGCAAACATAAATAAAGATATAACATAATGCCATGAGGAAACGTGTAATAAATGGACATTTGTCAGTCATCTGCTGCCCTCCAGTGGACGTACCGCCGACCTGACGGCAGAGTAACTCAGTGCATCAGGGATGGTGATGTTGAGCATGGCCTGGTGGGCGTCTTCACCAAGCTTCCCCCCACCAGGAATGTTGGTGACCTCCACCATCAGCCTTATTATCTTCATATTGCTGTTGAACTGAAGTTTCTGGAATTTGCCGTACCTGGACACAAGGATTCATGTACTGTGTGTATTATTATGTCACTACATTTTTAACAATAATCAATACATTAACGGCCCTATTTACTTCCAGGTATTGCTTGCTAAAGTAAGCATGTGCCGGTGACAGCTAATCAACAGTGATAGTGTATATGTTTTTGAAGAAGCATTTGTGATTGTTACACATTTCAAAGGGTAAAAATAAAAACACTGTATTGACATTTTGGGATTTACACTTATTCACCGTCTTGCACAGCGGTAATGAGAAGCTCAATAGCACGCTTATGTCTGTGCGCTAAATAGGAAGCTACAGCCAGGGACAGTAGCTTAGCTTAGCATAAAGACGAGAAACAAGGGTAAACAGCTAGCCTTGCTCTGTCCTAAGATAACTGCATGAAATAAACAAACCATATATAATGTGTGATATTCTTCTTTCCAGTTGTCATAGGCCAACCAGCCGATGGTGCTGGCTTGATATTATTATTGATATTATATACTTAGTGGCATCAATCTTCTCATCTAACTCTGGACAAGAAAGCGAATAAACATATTCCCCAAATGTCACCCAAAAGCTATTTGTGACTTCCATCAGCTTTAAAAACCCTCATCAGTCAAAGAGGGCTTAATAAATCAGAGTTCCACTTCACCTGGGGTAAGGCATATGCTCTTTGTCAACAAACTGGGCTGTCAGCTGCAGGTTACTGCTACATTTGTTGTCCAAGCCACACTCCTTCTGAAAGTTAATCTGCAGGAAATGGAACACATAATATTGCATCAGACCTTACCGGGGGAGTTCCACACAGGCTATACATGTGCTTATAATGATTTACAATGTGACTTATGTGTGTATGCGCCACACGCCATACCTCAGTTCTTTGAGTGAGTTTCTGCTGTTGACTGAGAATTGGGAAGGAGTCAAGGTTCTGCAGGGATCGTTTGGATTTAGGTTTCTGCTCATGCAAGGAGATGCTGAGGGAAAAGACCACCGGTTCCAGTTTGTCACTCACAGGGTCCTGGAGAATCATCCAAGAGTCTTACATTAATAAACACATGGTCACCATAGCTGTAAATAAAACACACATTTGAATTGATGCATTTGTATAGAGGATTTACCACTACAATCAGCTTCAGAATATGACACGGGGATTTGGAAGACGGCAGGCTCAGGAAGCCGGTATACGTGTCGTCATCATTGTTGTGAAAGCGAACACGAGGGCTTCTTCTCCTCTCCATGTCGGCCTCCACCGTGTACTTCACCGCTTTACAAAGTACAAACACACAGTGCGTTTTAGAACGCTACAGCAGACAATACAGCAAACACACAGCATGCCAGTATCCCCACAGTTTGTAACTATAGATATACGTACATGTGGATTCAAAAGTGCAGCCTATATTTTATGCAAAATGGAATTATTATTCATTTAACATTACATGATTTCTCATTGGAAAAAAAAAAGTGTAATCTAAGTAAAGAAAGACTGCTTACTGGTATTTTTCTTAAAGTCTTTGTTTCCATTGCTTGGAGTGAAAGACATACACAGAGTCGCTGTGATGCTGTAAAACACACAATGAAAAATTAATGTATTTTCACACTAAATCTAATGAGCCAGTTTCAGAATGAGGTGTTCTGAGGAGACAACTCACCATGGTGTACTTCCAAGACACTGATTAGGGTCCACAATCTTTGGCTCGACAGTTAAGTCCGTAGTTAAGTGGAGGACTGGTCGAGCCCTGAAAACAAGAGGAAGAAGAATAAAACTGTGCCCAACTCATATCATTGTGTGAACAGCAAACATATTTACCATTCACAAACAGACACACACCATCAATTCCAACAAGAGAAACAAACCAAAAAAAAACAATTCCATATTCTGCTTCGCCTCTCTCTTATTTGTACCTGAGCAGAGCCATGCGGTCGTCCAGAGAGCCAACTAAGATGTCAGGATAACTGTTTTCATCCATGTCCATCCCTCCATTGATGGAGTAGCCGAATGTGCGGAATTCTCCCTTTCCCACGGACTTACCCTCAATTACCTACAGGGAGCGACAATGACAAATGCGAGGTCAGCACATTAAATCTGGCCCTCGGCATGTCTGAAGTGCATCTGTGGCATTAAATCAGATATCACCTGACTGGGATCCTTTGAGATTCCCTTTTCACTTCCCATCCATATGTAAACCTTCCCTGTGTCGTGGAATGGAGCTCCCACTGCAAAGTCTGCAGACATGAACAATGGAGTGAAACATTAAAAGGAAACACGCAAAGGCAGTCTGCTGAGAACAAGCTAAGGGATGTCTGTGTATGGAATATATTTGCCCTCTAGGTGGCAGCATAGTACAGCTTAATTTGTTTTTACAGCTTTTAAGTAGTCTGAACTGCAACACAGTAGGTTACATTATCTTTCACTGGTGGGATAATTAACAATCACACAAAGTCTCAATGGGGAACTGGATGCTTCCTCTTTACCCTTGTTTTTAGCAGCACATTTTAATACACAGTAGAATCCACAAGGTAGACAAAATAATAGACACCTTATCAAATGAATGTAACTAGAAATATCTGAATTAACATTTCACAAAATATATTTTTGTAGTCGTTTTTAAACAATGAACTTGGGTGCAATTATTTTGCCTTTTTTCAAATTGTCCATGACCTATTCACTGTATTTTGCTGGTCTTGTGAGTATAAAACAAATATCGTGTTCAGAGTCAAACCTTGGAATCCATCTTGGTTGACATCGCCGATGGGAGCCACTGCAAAGCCAAATGCAGAGGTCGAGGGACCCTTCAGCACCACGCTGGCGGTCTTTTGGAACGATCCATTCTCATTCATGAAGATATACACCGCTCCTCCCTCATCCTTCATGCGATCAAAGTAAAATGGGGCGCCCACGATCAAGTCATTCCAGCTGTAATAAGCAAAGGAAATGTCCCAAAATATTTTTTAATATGCAAATACCTGCACACATAAATACCAGAAGATGACATCCTGAATAGTATATTCTTTGGATTTCAAATGTTTGTATTCCTTAAAATCTTACAGACCAAACACGTTTTAACTCGTGCATTCAGGGAGACATGATTTCACCATTGTGTCATGATAAACACTTTATCTCAGCTGCTGAAAGGACAGGTTCTCTCATACAAACATGAGTGTCATGCATTCTCCGCATAACAAGGCAGATCATAGCTACGGAGCATTCGAGCGTGAGGCAGCTCAAAAGGACCAGATAGAGTTAAAGACCATCCATTTACACATTAACACCTCTGCGTTTCTTCTGCGCCTCAATAGTTAATGGATATCAGAATATCGATATCAGCCGAACTACAACCAGAGACAGTTCGGAAAGCATCTTTGCTACATCCAGAGGCCTGGAGGTCAGAGGTCAACCTCAACATGGTGTCTGCTCCAAGTGCAAGAAATTACCGTCTTTGCGTGCATGATTAAAAATTGTTTGAGTTATAACTGCTTGCTACATTGGTGATGTGGCGTTTGATACTAGCTTTGGTTCCCAGCATGGACAATTTCTAAATGTACTATATTTCAAACAAGAAGCTAAAGATAGTAACGATGTTCAGTGTGGTGTGCAGAGACTCACTCGTCATTGTTGAGGTCGGTGACAGCCAGGCTGCTCCCAAAGTACGAGCCCACTTGTTCCCCGGGAATGATAAGCACCATCTCGATATTTTTGTCAGTCTTTCTCCCAAACATCACAGAGCCCTTGGACTCGTCCCTGGGAGACCCTGTCACCACTGTGTACTCGTCATGGCTGAACAGCTTCCTCTCTTCAAGAACTGAGTAACCTGCGCAAGACAGCATTCGAGATTCACTGTTAAACTGTCATCTGACTGTGGGAGGGGTAAGAGGCCTTGAAAGCATGGAAAAGTCCATACATTTATATATTTATATGATGCAAAAACATGTATTTGTGCTATATATTTACCCATATAACTGTATCGTCTTTTCAGCTGTCCAAAGTCTTTGCCTACAGAGTCCCAGGAAGTCACTGGATCTGGATCTCTCCACGTTACATGAACATTTCCTTTATAAAAAAGCAGGATTAAACAACAATTTTATGTCTGCTTCATGCACATTGGACAGGTTTCCCAGACAGAGAATAATCCCAGTGTTAGACTAACACTAGAATTGAGCAAACTTGCACAGGATTTAATCTCTGTCTGTGAAACCAGCCCATTATTTCAGTGTTCAAGTAACAAAATGCACTCTTTTTGGTGTTAACTCTTCAGTGCCCACCTTGCCACAGGTAGCTGCCTGTAGCGCCAATGTAGACATCAGTGTCTGTAATGCCTCCTGAGATGCCCATGTTGCACATGCCCTCATGGTCCATGTCGAGGTTTGGGTTGCAGACCTCATACGTGTAGGTCTGCCACTCATCGTTGGGGTCATAGGTCAGGTCGTTGCTCCTGACATAGCACTTTCCTATCATCCGTCGCTGCTCCTCTGTGCCTCCTTGGATGATCTTCACATAGCGATGCCCGCATGCCTGGACACCAGAGGAGAGTGTGTATTCTGGGACATAATGGACTGTGTAATTGGTCTAACTTACAATGTGTCAAATCTGGCAATCAATTCTGATAATGTACACATGTGATTGTATCTGAGCTAGAATTATTTAAAAAAAAGAATGTCTTACTTTGGGGTGTATAGTGCACATCAGAAATATATAATGGCTAAGAGCAAAAACAATCCTTTAAAGCAAATGAAATACCCTGGAATTAAAACAATACACCAAATACATTCCTGATCATTATGGTAGAATTACTCCTTTTTGCATTACACACTAAGCGTGCAGTAATAAGATGAGGCAGTCTGTTTTTATGAGCCATATATTGGTTTTTTTAGAAAACAATATAACATGTGACAGCTCCTATATAATAGGATAGAAATACAAAAATAAGCCAAATATACACCACTTTATCAATCTATAAAAACATATAAAAAATAAAATATAAAGATTTTACAATGGATGAACTGATTTAAAATAAGAAATAGAGCCCCTTCCAGTTTCCAGCAATAATAGAAGTGCCAGATGTGAGTGTCAGCGGTCCACTATATTACAATTTAAAATGAAACAAATGGAAAGGGTAAAATAGTTAATTTACCAATGTACCTATATATACATATATATATATATTCATAAATATTTTTCAACCAAAGAAAAAAAAATTCTCTTTCATAATAAAAGGGAAAAATCTCTCTGGAGAAATATAATATTTTACGTATGAACATGATTTCATTATAACTATGTGGCTGACTAATAGAGAAAACAGGATGTCATCTCACCAGCACGCGTCCCGCTGGCTGGTCTCTCTGACTGGCCACTGTCACACCAAGCCACATGCCCTCCACCATCTCAGATGGACTTGCTGTGGATGGGTCAGAGGTGGGGAATTACATGAAAGGGTTTTTAATGTTACTATAAACGTGGAAATAAAGTGTAGAAATACAATTTCACGTTCAGATTATTAGAATGGTTGGTCTTTAATTTAAAAACCAGGTTTCTACTGTTCAATTCTGTATCATTCAACATGATTATTGTGAATATCACAGGAAAACCAACCCAAACAGTCAAGCTTCATTCAGACTGGATCATGCCCTGACAAATATTAACCACAAAAATGTGCTGTGACTACAGCAACAGTCACCCCAACCTCAACATCAAAAGTGGCGAGGAAGCCTTTTATTATGGTTCTTACTTGTCGCCTCCGGGGGGGGCCTATTCACCTCCAGGTAGCAGAGCGGCAAGTCTATCAGTTAATAACCTTCAATTAAGAAAAGATGCGCTTTCAGAGTTTCATATCCTGAAGCTCATCGTGTAGGTGCAGCAAATTATTGTGAATGCGAGATGCCAGGGATTAGACTCTGAGATTGTTCAAGACTGGCTGAATATTTACAGTTCACCGCTTTGCAATCAGGGAAATCTCCTACAGTAACCACTATGTGTTAAAGGGAATCTGCATTGATCTTACACATGAAGGTCAGTTTACTCATCATGATCAGTCTGTGAAAACCCTTGTGTAATGTCTTCTGTGGCTCTGAAGGAAGCTTTGACAAGTCAGGGAAAAGTCAAAAAAAATAATATTCCCATCAGCCTCATCTCTACTTTTTCACTGTGAGCATTTTTTTAAAACTTAGCTTAATGCTGCGCCTCACTGAGCAGCAAACATGGCTGTAGACTGTAGTCTTGTTTTCACATCAAAGCTAATGCTCTCACTCATCTTGGAGTCTGATCAGGTTCAGACTGCAGTCGACTACCTTCACTGTGTGACTCAGGCTCACTCAAATCACTAACTGGACCTGTACAGAAACTCGGTTATGATACTCCATTGCCCTGTTAAATGACAAAATGATGAATCACATCCGAGAGCTCTGCGTCATGCTTACTTGTGCTGACCAGGTCCATTCTGGAGCAGTCGGAGGCATCTGTTGTCATGGGACAGGAGTAGACGGCACCTGTTTCATTGACATTTTTTAGAGATTTAGCTTTCTCTTTGGGTGCTCCTGCAAGAAGCCTGGACAGAAAGACAGAGACAGATTATTAGATTAGATCAGACCTTTGTCATGGTGTTATACAATACAACACATTGTAACAGCAGCAACAAGAAAACCTAGATGATTTCGGCTCCCCCCCCACACACACACACACACACAAAGAGTGAGCCAGTTCACGTGACCTATGAATTAATAGTGGAGATAATTAAGAGTGGAGCAGTCAGAGCGTGACCCGAGACAAGTCTGGGCACCACACACACACACACCCACAAACTAGCTTCTTGGTGATGGACCTGATCTTTTTGTCCACTCACCCCAGACACTCCCTACATCAGCACCTTTTAACACACCACAGAACTTTGAAGTAGAGGGATTATTCCCTCTACAAGCATCTGCGCTGGGACACACTATTTACTGTCAGCACAAGATTTATTAGCTCCACTTTGAGGGCGGGGGATGCCGACAATTTTGTTTACAGTGTGTGTGTGTGTGTTTGACAGATGGTCTGCCGTACTATGTGGGGAAACAAAAGCATACAGCCATGTAAAGTGTGTTCTTTTCAAGCTTTCTGAATGTGTTCATGCAATGTTGGTTGGGCGCTGACATGGTGCTGGCTGTGGAGAGTGATGAGTCAAGCTGTTAGTCCAGCTTCTGGGCCACCCCTTACACACACTGATAAGTCTGTATTAATACAGATAATGGGTGTATACTCAAAGATACACCTTTACAGTACGGTCATTGTGCCTTCAAAATAAAATGTCTCTCATGAGTCAACCCTTCATTGTTCCAACTTGAATATTATGTCCTCGGAGGTAAAACATGACGGAAGGAAGAGGCGTACTGAAGTGCTTGATGTCTGAGTAAAACGATAAAAAATATTTCATAGATTTTGTAAAATATTTTTTGTGGTGAGCTGCGATTGCTCACACATTACTAGGTTAGGCGGTGGGTTTTCATAAACACAGTTTACTGTGCACCAGGCTGTACCACTCCACCACATCCTTCTGTATCTAGACACACACTCGCATAGACAAAATGCCCCCATATATACTCCGAATCTAATCATGACAACATCCCCAGACAAATACTTTCTCTTTCATGTGTCACCTGAACCTGAACCGACTCAGAAAGTTTGGCTTTGCATGGAAATCAGTCATGAGAGTTTGTTTCCACCTCTGATCTTAGATCGAATTACCCCATTACCGATTTGAAACATTATTTTTGACCAACATGTCTAATCTAACTTCAGGAGCTGTGGAATGCATATTATTTATCGGTGGAAAAGTGGACCAGAACTATATGAAAGTGAATACATTGCTCTGCACAAAATACTTTTCCACTGATGCATAAAAAAACAGTCATCCTCCAGCCATCGTTTGAAACAGAACGGTACAATTATCCCTTCTTTCTGCTACCAGATGGGCATTATCATCATTGAATCAATTATCTTGCCACAGTGATGACAAACAGCTAGAGCCTCGCTAAAGATGGCCTCTGAGAGCCAGCAGTTTACAGCAGACTGGCAGTTAAAGAGTCCTTGGTTATCATTCAGTAATGTAGACAGCATCTGAGATTCCACAGAGGGTTGTAGTAGTTAGTGGGACTGACTGATATGTGGAGAATCAGGGCCACAGAGTCCCACTGTGAGGATGTGACCGCTTCCATAATCTACCCTACATATGTGTGTGTGTGTGTGTGTGTGTGTGTGCTCCCATATAACAGAAAACGTTAGCACATGAGCAAGTAGGTGCGTGTTTTCATGACTTGCTTGTCTTCTTCCATAGCCTTTTAATCAGAAGTCACGGCCACCTAAAATGTTTTTCAGCTGTAAAGGGCACAGTGTCTCAAAATACTCCCTTATGAGGTCAGCAATTCTTGTGGGAAAAACTAAGCAACATATCCAACGCATTTAGAAGGAAAGAAAAAGAAATGGGGTCAACCCAGAGAACAAGCAAGACTGTTACAAAACACTTAGAGGCCAGTTAGTGTGAATTTGTACACACAGAAGAAGAAAAACAAATGTGACTAATTGAGGCACAGAGTCCAGCGCTAATCGCTCATGCTTTAGGGAGGCTTGGGTAATCTTGGCCGTCATTGTGTTTGTTGCAGCAAACCCGGAGAAAAATACTTAGTCCAGCTCGAGCTTATAAACATACTCATTGTCGTCTCACTGGCTCATCAGAGCCACGTGGGTCACCTGTGTTTGTTGTGGAAATTCAACCCTGCTGATTGACGCACCAGGTTTGACACACAGTGAACACACAGCTTCAAAACTAGGAAGTAGTATTTTCATAAAGGTAACACTTAAATTAAAGGAAATAGTTTGACATTTTGGGAAATATTCACTTTCTTGGAGAGAGAGTTAGAAGTGAAGATTGATACCACTCTAAAGTCAGTGAGGTAAATAGGAGGCTGCAGCCAGCCAAGCTTAGCTTAGCACAATAACTAGAAACAGAGGGAAACAGCTAGCTTGGGTCAGTTAAGGCACCTTTAAAGCTTGCTAATTGAATAGTTATACTGTATATTGTTTGTTTACTTTGCACAAAAGCCAAAGTGTAATCCAGAATATCAGTTATTATTCGATGAAAGATGAAAACCTCTCTAAATGTCAACAAACAAATTCAAGGCCTCAAGTTTGTCACTTTATGTACTCGTCCATGATAAGACACCTCATATCCTGTCCTGTGTGCTCTCCTCCTACTTCCCTCCCTGCTCATCACCTCCTCATAAACAGGCTGTCCAAGGCCCAGAGAAGAGAAGGGGGGCAACCCGGAGCTACATTCCTACTCTGAAGACATGTTAAAATTCGCCCCTCTTCCTCAGAAGTGATGGGAACGGCTGACTAAACCAAACGTTTACTGGGGCGAACACACCCAGCCAAGGTGAGCGCTGCCTGCATTCTTGACACCTAGAGTTAAGAAATTCCCAGAGGAAGGGAGTTGGATGAACTACTATATATTCATATCAGTGGTGTTTAGTAAAACAAACAGAGGTCAATTTATCAAGTCATCTCAATCATGACTGCCCACCTCAGCTCCTGACAGCAGCAAAAAAACAAAGGTGGGGGGCTGGGGTTGAAAGAGCGAGGGAGTGACGGAAGGGAGGGGAGAGCAAAAAGCCTGATCGCTCCTCGTCTCACAGGAGAGGAAAAGAGAAAACACGACAATGCCTTGTCAGTTTGGTAAACAGACGTCTGTCTATAAGACACTCAACACAGCACATGTAGCTCCCTGGTAGTCAATTAAAACTAAGCCGTAGTCTCTCAAGCTCTCACCCCCCACCTGATGGCTCCTGACTCAGAATAACATCAACAGCACTGAAACCAGGAAACACAACTTAATTAGAGATGACTAAACCCTTTTGGATGACATTTTCTCTCCATCTCACAGGCCTTTGCAAGATTAACAAGTAGAGACAATGTGCAGGGCCAGTCAGTCGTGCTTACAGAGGAGCAGAAATGTCCCATTTAGATTACGTTCATCTTCACCTGGGTCCAGTCGGAACAGGAGGGTGATGAGACAATATAGGTCAAAAGAAATGGCACACAAGTTTTCACCCTGACATTTAAAGGCCCTTGCCTTAAATGTCAAGCGGTATAAACATATAAAAATGGGTAAGTGAGAGAAAGTGGTTGACAAAGAGACCAAGTATTACAACTGCTGCGAGCGTGTTCGAATATGTCAGCCTTACATAAGTGATGGATCACCTCTCCAGATAAGGCTCTGGGCAACCTGTTTGTCATAGCGTGTGTCTGTGGCCCTCGGGGCAAAGAAAAAACAGTTTCAGCTTCATGTTAGAAGATCTCAGTGCCTGTTTGTCACAGCCACGCAACTCTTTTAAGAACTACAACCCATGACGGAGGAAGTCGTGATTAGTGTAATTAATCGATCAAAATTTCTATTCTTTGTGAATCGAGGCAAATCCACAGGTCTTCTTCTTCTGCTATTAAAGATGATGTGTCAGGTTACTGTCAGACCCGCTGGAAACAAGTAGACACATGCAGATGTTGGCCCTGGTAACAAGGTGTTGTTGGACAAGGAGGGGGGATTGGTGGAACAGTGCAGACGAGGCTCAGCGATGTGAAGAGGAGAGGAGAGAACTGTGAGCAAATGTCACCATCTCCTACAATCCTGGTCATTTCCACTGCACTAACTGGCAGACTGTGCAAAATACCGCAGTATAATAAATCTGTGCATGAGAGAAGGAAAGTTGGATCGTTATTTTGCAACAGGCATATGTGCAAGCTGTTGTGGATGATGAATTGGTTCAACCTGCTCTGTTCTACATGACATGGCTGCTCACCAAATTGCCGGACAAGTACAAGCAAGGAACAGGCTCACAAAATGCTATTAATCCTCCCCCTTTAACCTAAATCCATTGAAACAGATACACAAACACACACTCATGCTGCACTCTCAATATTCTTCAGGATGGTATGAAGCCGGTGCATTACAGGCGACTCATATCGATTCCACGGAAACATTGCCACTTAGACCCACTAAGCAAATAAATGGAGATAATACTGAATGGAGCGATTATATTCGCAGATTGAATTAAGCACAAGGACAAGAAAGAGCAGACCAGGGCTGAATCTTTTAATGCTCTTGTAATGACTGCACTGAAAGTCGAGAGACATGGTGTGTCCACCATTACTGTGCTGCCTTTAAGAGGAAATAAGTCACGTGATGAGTGTGTGTGTGCGCGGTTTCACTGTATTACAATAGCACTCTGATAAATCCAGTTCTTTGTACTTTCAGGAAACACTCTCACAAAGCTGTAGGTAGGGGTGAGCACACACATTGCTATCAGACTATTCACAGTAACCACGCCTAGTTGTTAACACACTGACTGTGTGTGTCTGCATGTACAGAACATGGCGAACAGATGAGTCCTCTCTGGACAAACAGTGATACGTCAACCTGCTACAAGTACAAAAGTGGTCAAACTGACCTGCCATCACAGCACCTGAGCAGCTCAGTACAGTTTCTTTATTTTAATTATAAGAAATTAATACGGACAC